CTGCGGAGGCGTACTTGGGGGCCAAGTGTAACGATGCTGTTGTGACTGTTCCAGCCTACTTCAATGACTCCCAGCGCCAGGCCACCAAGGACGCAGGAACGATCTCAGGCATGAACGTACTTCGAATTATCAACGAGCCCACCGCGGCGGCGATCGCTTACGGCCTCGACAAGAAGGGCAGCGGTGAGAAGAATATCCTCATCTACGACATGGGCGGGGGCACCTTCGATGTCTCTCTGCTCACAATCGAGGACGGCATCTTCGAGGTGAAGGCCACCGCCGGGGATACACATCTGGGCGGCGAGGACTTCGACAACCGCATCGTGGATTTCTGTATGCAAGACTTCAAGCGCAAGAATAGAGGCAAGGACCTCGCGGGCAACCAGCGCGCCATTCGCCGTCTGCGGACACAGTGCGAGCGCGCCAAGAGGACCCTTTCCTCATCCACTCAGGCCACGATTGAGATTGACTCCCTCTTCGATGGTATCGACTTCTCTTGCTCGCTGTCGCGCGCCCGGTTTGAGGAGCTCAACATGGATTATTTCCGCAATTCGATGGGTCCCGTCGAAAAGTGTTTGCGTGACAGCGGCATCGACAAGCGGAACGTGCACGAGGTCGTTTTGGTTGGTGGTTCTACACGCATTCCGAAGGTACAGGCCATGATCCAGGAGTTCTTCAACGGCAAGGAGCCGAACAAGTCTATCAATCCGGACGAGGCCGTGGCTTTTGGCGCCGCAGTGCAGGCTGCCATCCTCACCGGCGAGGGATCCTCGCAAGTCCAGGATCTTTTGCTGCTCGACGTGACGCCCCTCTCGATGGGCTTGGAGACCGCTGGCGGAGTGATGACCAAGCTGATCGAGCGGAACACCACGATTCCTACCAAGAAGGGTCAAACTTTTACCACCTATGCCGATAACCAGCCGGGAGTACTTATCCAAGTGTTCGAAGGCGAGCGCGCAATGACCAAGGACAACAATTTGTTGGGGAAGTTCCACCTCGACGGCATCCCGCCAGCCCCGCGGGGCGTGCCGCAGATCGAGGTGACGTTCGACATCGACGCGAACGGCATCCTCAACGTGTCCGCTCAGGACAAGTCCACGGGGAAGTCCAACCAGATCACCATCACCAACGAGAAGGGGCGGCTGTCCCAGGCGGAGATCGACCGGATGGTGCAGGAGGCGGAGAAGTATCGTGCCGAGGACGAGTCAAATAAGGCAAAGATCGAGGCGAAGAACGGCCTCGAGAATTACTGCTTCACCATGCGGAATACCCTGCAGGAGGAGAAGCTCAAAGAAAAGTTCGAGGATGGAGACAAGGAGAAGATCGAGAAGGCGGTGCAGGATGCCCTTGATTGGCTGGACAAGAACCAGCTGGCCGAGAAGGATGAGTTTGAGGCCAAGCAGAAGGAGCTGGAGGGCATCGTCAACCCCATCATGATGAAGGTGTACCAGGCCGCCGGCGGTGGAGGAATGCCCGAGGGCGGCATGCCGGGCGGTGGGGCTGCCCCCGGCGGCGGCGCGGGGCCCACTGTGGAGGAGGTGGACTAAGCCCGAGGCATTGACCGCCGTCTTAGCCTTGTATTCAGAATGCCCACAAGGTGCTCCGAGCAGCAGGCTGGGGTGCGCCATGCACCTCTGAGGCCCTGCCCAGCGCGTTCGGCTGATGAGACGAGCAGATTTTATCCCGTCTACTTAGGCCACAGACGTTGGCCGGTCCCCAGCTGCCAGTCGGCCTCCCGACTGACCAGCGGGGGTTTGCGCATGCGCGCTGGGCCGCGGGCCACAGACTCATAGACTTCTCTGCAGCACGAGTGCTGTCAAGGCGAGCACGAGGTGCTGCCGGGGGACCCCCAACCCAGAAGTCGCCTACCGAGAACTCCATAGAAGCAACATGCGTCAATCTACGTGTTCGGAGCTCGGGATCGGCGTGGGGCCCCATCCCTGGCGGCGCGGAGCGCGCCAGGAGCTCAACGCAACCCCTCGCCGGGATTGCACTAGCATGTTGCGGCCAAGCCCGCTGGCCTCCCCTGGCCTCCTCCTTCCTGCTCCTCCTCTTCGTCTTCCTCCGTGGCTGGTTGCTGCTTCGTAGAGCCCCCTCTACCAGTTGAGAAGCCGACATTCCCGCCCCAACAGGGTCCGTTTCCATCCGATCGATCCGATCAGATCTTGGGCCAGCCGGCTCGATCCGAGTCGATTCCAATGTTACGAGGACACGATGCGGTCCGGTATTCCCACTGCGGTACTGTGCATCCTGGCTTAGCCGATCCGATTCGGTTTCGATTCCGTGCCGATGCAGCCCGACCTGACGCACGTTGCGATTCGATCCGATTTCCCGATTCGATGCTGACTGAGTTCACCTCCCCATCATTAGTCATGAGGGAAGTCCTGGAAGCCTCGCGAGGCGCGCTATGATCCAGTATCTAGTGAACACCTCCGCCCCGTCAGACATCGTTCGAGCGGCGATGTTCCGACGCAGACTCTACGTCAAACTGGCTTACGTAAGTCCATCGTGAATCCGACGTTGATCCGACGTTAATTGTATTTCAAGTTGCCGCGCGGGTGTTCCAAGATTTTCTGAATAATACTCTGCAATCCCGCCAGATCCCGCTTCATCCAGCTCAATCTTCGGCTTGGTCTGGTATGGTCGGGCTGAACGGCCCTCCATCGGGCTGAACAGCCTCGAATTGTTCTGCCGAAGACCTCCCAGACGTCGCCTCTAAGATTCGATCCGATGTCCCGGTTCGATCCCGATTGGTCTTGCCTCCTCTCGAATTCCGGTACGATGTTGTTGTTGATGAGTTCCTGATGATTGTGACGATGACGATGACGATGCAACACGGGCCCTCCGGGGAGGTTGGAGTCCAGACCACGGGGAGTCCACGAAGTGAACAAATTGGAGCGGCAGACGTCAGGGGAGTTTGGGATTCGAGGTCGGAGATGTTCTGGCGTGTTCGTGCATCCTTGGTGTGGTTTTCCAGCCTCGAGGTGCGTTCCAGGGGCTGCGCCTCGCCAAGAGCGTTGCGGTTGTGCCCTGGAGGCCCGAGTTATATGCTATGGCATGCTACGGCTCGGAAAAGGCCGGATTCGGCGGCGCGCCCGAGGGGGGAGGGGAGACGGGGCAGGCCATCTCAGAAGCCGGCGTGGCTGCGCTGAATCATCGTCAGGACGCTGCCATGAGGACCGCTTAGGGTAATTACGGGAGGGGCTCTGGATATTCGGGACTTTCTCACCACCCACCAAACCACCCCAACCCAACCCGAAGGCCCAAATTTATCCTCGATTTCCAGTGGGGGGGGGTCGTGGAACGTTGAAAAAACACATGGTATCCGTACCCCCCCCAACCCGAAATTCGGGTCAAATTCGGGTCTTCGGGTTGGGTTGGGGTGTTCTGGTAGGTAGTCACTTTCCTGCTACATAGGTCGGGGGACTCGCTCATGGCCGAGGCTCAATGGCCAGGAGAATTCCTTCCTTCCTTGCTCAGCGCTCCGCATGGTAGCACGGTGTCTGTAGAAAGCTCTCCTGCGGCCCGCCCCCTCTGTCTGCCTTTCCGAGAGCCTGGCGCGGGACGGCCGAGATCCAAGCATCCCAGAGGGGGGGGTCGAGCAGGTGGGGTCGGAAGCTCGCGCCGCACCGCCGATGCGTCGGTGCTGCGGCTCGACGTGGGCCCGATCTTCTCCACGCCGACGTCGCCCTGGCGACGCGGTGCGACTCTCGGGCCCCGTCCGCGGGGAGAACCCGTGCGGGAGGCCCCGGAGGGGCGGTGGACCTTTCTGGGCCGGTGCGTGCCCGGGCGACAGCATCCCCAGGGTCGACACATGGTCGGGGGCGGATATCATGGCTTGGACCATGATATTTCCCCAGATTTCATGGCGCCTCGTCTTGTTTCATTACGTCCCTGGCCCCCCCGCTGGGCCGCGCACATGCCGCCGGCCATAATTCGCCCCCCCCCGCTCTTGGACGCCCCCCTCTTTGCCGCCCCCGACATGGAACAGCACTGCACAATGGCATGGAGTTGTCGGAGGCCCGCGCTGGGCTTCTGGGGTCGGCGTCTCTTCGGCGCCGCCCCCTGCGCGCCTGGTCGGGAGCCTTGAGGCGGGGGTCAACTCGGGCCGGACGAAAGGGGGGGTTTGGGGAAGGGGGGGTTACGAAATTTGCTGCGTGTAGCTGGTTTCGGCCCCACCGAGGGGCCCATTCCTCGATACATGGCCGCCTCCGGCGCCGGGAGGCGCCAGGAAAATCAGCTACGTGAGCTGATTCTCAAACCCCCCCTTTGCTATCCCCCCCTTTCGCCCGACCCGATCAACGCAAACGGGGGTGAGCCAGAGCGCCCGATCTTGGATCCTGCAGGGCCCGGGTCGCACTGACCCGGCTTTGGGTGCAGGATCCTGCAGGGTCTTGCAGGATCCCTCGCGTTGACCAGGGTTTGGGTGCAGGATCTTGCAGGATCTCTTGCAGGGTGCTGCAAGGCCTGGCTGACCCAGGTGTTGGGAGCTCCGGCGCCGATCCCGGAGATCCGCGAGGACCTCTCCGAGGGCTCATGTTTGTATGTGGTGCATTCTTCTTCCGCTCTCCTGCTGTCAAGTCGAGGCGCTGCACAAACGTAACACAGTGGTCCGCGGAGGTCTCTTTGGGTTTTCAGGCCGTTCCTCGGACCGAGGCCGCCCCATGCGCGCCTGGGCGCACCAGGTCAGGGGGGCCCGGCGCCGATGCAGGAAATCCGCGGAGGACCTCCGAGAGCTTGTTCTCATGCTGTGCACTCTTCTCCCGCCCTTCCCGCGAGGCGCCGACAGAAGGAGAACCTTGGGCTCGGGAGGTTCTGTTCGTTGGGTGTTCAGGCCGTTCCTCGGACCGAGGTCGGGGGACCTGCCCGAGGTCGAGGCTGGCCGTGGCGTGGCCACAAGAAGCCCCCTCCGTTCCCAGTTCGGCGCTCCGCATGGCGGCACGATGGCTGAACGAGCGAGACCGCCTGGTGCAAGGCAGTGAGGCGACGGTGGGCAGTCGATGCTCCAAGATCGAGGACCGAGGAGAAGGATGGGGCCGCTCAACGTCGCCTCCCCTCGCTCGATCCGTAGCCATTCGGGCGCAAGGTTAGTTTCGCCGATCAGCCTCTGGCCTCGGCGGCGGCTGAGGACGGTGACCATGTCGAAGAAGACCGCTGTCGGCATCGACTTGGGCACCACATACTCTTGCGTCGGAGTGTGGAAGAACGACGGCGTCGAGATCATCGCCAACGATCAGGGCAATCGCACGACGCCGTCCTACGTGGCTTTCACCGACACCGAGCGCCTGATCGGTGACGCGGCCAAGAACCAGGTGGCTCGCAACCCAGAAAACACCGTCTTCGATGCCAAGCGGTTGATCGGTCGCAAGTTCGCAGACCCCATCGTGCAGGCCGACATTAAGTTGTGGCCGTTCAAGGTCGAGGCAGGAACGGGCGACAAGCCGATGATCGTTGTGACAGCACAGGGCGAGGAGAAAAAGTTTCACCCTGAGGAGATCTCTTCGATGATTCTGCTCAAGATGAAGGAGACTGCCGAGGCTTACCTGGGGGCCAAGTGCAACGATGCTGTCGTGACTGTTCCAGCCTACTTCAATGACTCCCAGCGCCAGGCCACCAAGGATGCAGGGACGATCTCCGGCATGAACGTTCTTCGGATTATCAACGAGCCCACCGCGGCGGCGATCGCTTACGGCCTCGACAAGAAGGGCAGCGGCGAGAAGAATATCCTTATTTACGACATGGGCGGGGGCACCTTCGATGTCTCTCTGCTGACAATCGAGGACGGCATCTTCGAGGTGAAGGCCACCGCTGGGGACACACATCTTGGAGGCGAGGACTTCGACAACCGCATCGTGGACTTCTGCATGCAAGACTTCAAGCGCAAGAACAGAGGCAAGGACCTCGCGGGCAACCAGCGCGCCATTCGTCGCCTGCGGACACAGTGCGAGCGCGCCAAGAGGACCCTTTCCTCCTCCACGCAGGCCACGATCGAGATTGACTCTCTCTTCGATGGTATCGACTTCTCCTGCTCGCTGTCGCGCGCCCGGTTCGAGGAGCTCAACATGGATTATTTCCGCAATTCTATGGGTCCCGTCGAGAAGTGCCTGCGCGACAGCGGCATCGACAAACGGAACGTGCACGAGGTCGTTTTGGTTGGTGGCTCTACGCGCATTCCGAAGGTGCAGGCCATGATCCAGGAGTTCTTCAACGGCAAGGAGCCTAACAAGTCTATCAATCCGGACGAGGCCGTGGCCTTTGGCGCCGCGGTGCAGGCTGCCATCCTCACCGGCGAGGGGTCCTCGCAGGTCCAGGATCTGCTGCTGCTCGACGTGACGCCCCTGTCGATGGGCCTGGAGACCGCTGGCGGAGTGATGACCAAGCTGATCGAGCGGAACACCACGATTCCTACCAAGAAGGGGCAGACTTTCACCACCTATGCCGATAACCAGCCAGGAGTGCTTATCCAGGTGTTCGAGGGCGAGCGCGCAATGACCAAGGACAACAATTTGTTGGGGAAGTTCCACCCTTGACGGCATCCCGCCTCTGCCCCGCGGGGCGAGCCGCAGATCGAGGTGACGTTCGACATCGACGCGAACGGCATCCTCAACGTGTCCGCACAGGACAAGTCCACCGGTAAGTCCAACCAGATCACCATCACCAACGAGAAGGGGCGGCTGTCCCAGGCGGAGATCGACCGGATGTTGCAGGAGGCGGAGAAGTATCGCGCCGAGGACGAGAGCAATAAGGCGAAGATCGAGGCGAAGAACGGCCTCGAGAACTATTGCTTCACCATGCGGAACACCCTGCAGGAGGAGAAGCTCAAAGAGAAGTTCGAGGATGGAGACAAGGAGAAGATCGAGAAGGCGGTGCAGGATGCCCTCGACTGGCTGGACAAGAACCAGCTGGCCGAGAAGGATGAGTTTGAGGCCAAGCAGAAGGAGCTGGAGGGCATCGTCAACCCCATCATGATGAAGGTGTACCAGGCCGCCGGCGGTGGTGGAATGCCGGAGGGCGGCATGCCGGGCGGCGGGGCTGCCCCCGGCGGCGGCGCGGGGCCCACCGTGGAGGAGGTGGACTAAGCCCGAGGCTTCGAGCGAATGCCCACACGGTTCTCCGAGCAGCCTGGCAGGCTGGGGTGCGCCGTGCACCTTTGTGGCCCTGCCCGGCGAGGTCGGCTGATGAGACGAGCTGCTTTTACCCCACCTCGGCCACAGATGCTGGCAGGCTTCCAGCTGCCAGTCGGCCTCCCGACTGGCCAGCGGGGTTTTGCGCGTTCGCGCGGGGCCGCGGGCCACAGACTCATAGACTTCGCTGCAGCACTCGTGCTGCCAAGGCGAGCAGAAAACGTCGCCTCCCCTCGCTCGAATAAGAAGCAACATGCATCAATCTAAATTTTCGGATGTCGGATCGTCGCTGGCCCCCCCCTCCTTGGCGGAGCGCGCCAGGTGCTTCCCCCCCCGCCCCTTCGCGCTGATTGTACTCTCGATAGTGCGGCCAAGCCCCATGGCCTCCTCCTTCCTGCGCCGTCCTCTTCGTTTCCTTCGTGGCTGCATCGTGGACTCTTCGTTTCCTCTTCGTTTCTCTTCGTTCCTTCGGTTCCTCTTCCTCTTTTCTGCATCGTGGAGCCCCTCTCAGTTGGGAAGCCGACATTCGCGCCCCAACAGGGCCCGTTTCGATCCGATCCATCCGAGAAGGTCTTGGGGTCAGCCAGCTCGATCCGAATCGATTCCACTGTCACGAGGATCCGATGCGGTCCGATGTTTCGATGGCGTTCTTGTGCATCCTTGCCTAGCCGATCCGGTTCGGTTTCGACTCCGTGCCGATGCAGCCCGATCCGACGCACTTTTGGGATTTGATCCGATGCACCGATTCGATGTTGACTGTTTCAGCTCCTCCGTAACAATGAGGGAGGTCCTGCTGGGGCGACGAGATCTATACATATCCACTGCTCCTGGCCAGGCCCATCCTGGGCCCAGGAGCTGTGTATATGCCTCCCTGGCCAGGCCAGGAGGGCGTATACACCGCTCCTGGGCCCAGGATTGGCCTGGCCAGGAGCAGTGGATATGTATAGATCTCGTCGCCCTACCTGCAAGCCTCGCGCGACGCGCTCGCTATGATCTAGCACCTGTTCTCTGGTCAACACCTCCGCCCCGTCAGGCAACGTTCGAGCGGCGATGCTCCGACGTAGATTATACATGAATCCGACTTACCTCAGGAGAGGAAAAAACACACAGACACAATTAATCTTCGATTCCCAGGAAAATATGGGAAAATATGGGAATTGGGGGGGAAGACAAAAACCCAGAAAATATGGGAAAATATGGGGATTATTTTTATTTGTGTGTATTTATTTGTGTGTCCTAATTTCCCTTGAGTCTTGCCGAATCCCGCTTCATCCGGCTCAACCCCAGGCTTCAGTTTGCTTGGTCCGTCTGAATGACCCCTCATCGGGCTAACAGTCCCCAATCGTTTAGGCGAGACTTCACAGAGGGCTCCTCCTAAGATTCGATCCGATGTCCCGATTCGATCCTGACTGGGGTTGCCTCCTCTCGAATCCCGACACGCATCTCTAGAAATAGAGCCATGATGATGTTTTTGTAGAAGATGTTGCTGATGCTGGTGACGATGACGGTGACGACGACGATTACCATCATGGTGATGACGATGATGATGATGATGATGATGATGATGATGATGATGACGATGATGATGATGATGATGATGATGAGTATGATGATGATGATGATGATGCTGTTAATGATGATGATGATGATGATGATGATGATGATGATGATGATGATGCGGATGATGTTGTTGATGATGATGATAATGATGATGGTGGTGGTGGTGATGATGATGGTGATGGTGATTTTAATGATGGTGTTGATGATGATGCTGTTGACGCTGATGACGACGATGATGAGGCTTATGCTGAGTCTGATCGTGTTGCTGATGCTGCTTCTGAGAAAGATGATGATGATGATGATGATGATGACGATGATGAGGCTGATGATGATGATGATGATGATGATGATGATGCTGATGATGATGATGATGATGATGCTGATAGTATTGCTGCTGATGATGATGATGCTGCTGCCGATGAGGATGATGCTGATAAGGATGATGCTGATGATGATGGTGATGATGCTGATGATGCTGATGATGCTGATGCTGAATATGTTGATAATGATGATGATGCTGCTGATGAGGATGAGGATGATGATGACGGTTGTGGTGGTGATGCTGCCAATAGTTTAGCCGACGTTCACTCTGATGCTGACGGCTGATTGATGATGGTGATGATGATGATGATGATGATGATGATGATGATGATGATGATGATGATGGTAGCGGTGGTGGTTGTGGTTGTGGTGGTGATGTTGACCCCTGACACGCCTTCTTTCTCACCGAGCCACCCCGCCTCTCCGGTCGCGAGGCGTGGGGCCAGAGCCCGCCCACGTCCCGGGAGTGGGCGCCGAGGGGCTCCGAGCGGGCGCCCCGGCTCCGCGACAGGCCCGGCCCCCCTTCGCGCCCTTTCTCCGCGGTCCGGCGGCAGTGGGAGGGGGGGAAGAGGACCGATGCGCAATTCAAAGTTCACCACCCACCAAACCACCCCAACCCAACCCGAAGGCTCAGATTTACCCTCGATTTCCAGTGTGGGGGGGGGGGGTCGAAAAACATTGAAAAAACACATGTGGAACCCTTACCCGCCCCAACCCGAAATTCGGGTCTTCGGGTTGGGTTGGGGTGGTCTGGTAGGGAGTCACAAGTGACCCTGGTGTGAAGGGCTTCGGGTTGCGCACGGACCGCCCCCCCCAGGCAGTGCCGGCCGGCCTCGGCAGGCTCCCCGAGTAGGTACAGCTGGCCTCGAGAGGCCCCACGAGTAGCGCGTGGCGGTCTCAACACCTTGGCGCCGCCACTGGCGGCGTCCCTGGGGCGCTCCACGGCCTGGGCGGGGTGCATGTACGCAACGCGAAGCCTTAGCATCCACCCCGCACCACCACGGGGCTGAGGCAGACTTGCCGAATGGGTGTCGTGACTGTGGCCCCGCTTGCCAGGGATTCCCGTGGGTGCCGCCGTCGGTGGTGGGGTGTCATTTTGGGTTCTCATTCAATGACGCGCCGCCGCTGGGAGCCCGTCAGCGTGTTTTTCCTTCGTCTTCGTCCGGAAGCTAGGTAATCTTTCAACAGCAACGCGCTGGTGTGTTCCCCATGTCGGCGTGTCACTGACACTGTCTTTGTTTTCCCAGGCGGCGTTTTTGCGGTTGATCGCTTATCCATCTTTTCCTCTCTTGTCTTCCCTCCTGACAATTCCTTCTCATGATGTCCTCCTCTCATCCTCGAGGAGCAGCTCCTGAGGCAGCAGTCCTCAAGACGAGGTTAATCCGAGGCCCGTCTCCTCTTCCTCCTTCATCCGCGGGGACTAGGGATTCTGTTTCAGTTGGGAGCTAGCAGCCTCCAGTGCAGCGTCGATGAGGACTGAACCTTCGCTCACGCCGGCAGATAGACTGGCGAGCAAGCATCAGAAGACTTGTTAAGCGGAGCGCAGTCCAATCCTCTTCCCTTCCCCTTCTCCCCCACCCACCTCTTTCTCCGCCCCCTCCTCAGTGGCAGCGTTGGGGTGGGGAATAGTAGGCTCAGCGCGAGACGCCTCGACACCACATCGCTCATTCATGGCCGATAGGGGCCCAATAGCCCACCCCGACCAGGACGGTGCAGTTTTGCAATCGGGGGCCTGTCGCCGATCTATCGGCAATGTATCGCCGATTCCAGGTCGATGTTCCCCCTCCCCCCCTGCCCTCCCCGGGCTGGTCCCCCCCGTCGTCCCTCTCACCTCCACATCTTCCTCTTGCTCCTCCTCCTCCTCCTCCTCCTCCTCCTTCTCTTCCTCCTCCTCCTCCTGATCCTCCTCCTCTTCCTCCTCTTTCTGCACCCACGGAAGTCACGAATAATGGAGCCAAAAGTTAAAGACAGTGTTACCTGGCGCGACTTAGGCTGTAATTCCGAGAGTTGCTGATCTTGATGTACATTGGCTTTTGTCCTGCCCCAAGCAGGCCTTTTTTCGGACAGGACTTCGCTGCTTCACTGCTTATCCTCCTCTTTATCCTCCTCCTTCTCCTCCTCCTCCTCCTCCTCCTCCTCCTCTTGATCCTCCTCTTCATTATCCGCCTCTGGTCGCCCGGGAGCCTCGGCGCACTGCAGGCAGGCCTTCCGGCTCTCCCCGTGGGGGGGTCTTTGCCGCCATGTGTCCACCGCAGGGGCCCCAAGTGGTTCGAGTGATTCAAAAGCTTGGCCTCCTAACGCCCGAACCCGAACTTCGTCGTCGTTGTCGTCGTCGCTCTCCTCCTCCTCCTCCTCCTCCTCCTCCTCCTCCTCTTCCTCCTCCTCCTCCTCCTCCTCCTCTTCCTCCTCACTCAAGCAGGTTCGAGCGATCGAAGCATGGCATCCTAATGCCCGATCCCGATCCTCGTTCTCCTCCTCCTTCCCATGCTCCTCCTCCTCCTCCTCCTCCTCCTCCTCCTCCTCCTCTTCCTCCTCCTCCACACTCCAGGGGGACGTGCGACAACACAAGCATATCAGCTTATCAGCTCTGAGGTCCGCGCAGATTTCTCGGATCGGCGCTGGAGCCCCCGTGCCGCGCCTCGGGCGCCGCATCCGGCGCGCTCCGCGCGCCGGGGAGGGGGGGGTCCAGCGACGATCCGAGGAAGTCGCGGGGACCTCCTGACGAACCAACAACACACACCCATACCCATAGGGGGATCGGAGAGGGCTATGGGTGCGTGTTGTCGGATGGGGGTCCCCGCTCGAACGGGAGCGTTCCCCAGGGTCCGACAACCCGCACCCATACCCATAGCCAGTCCTCCTCCCGACGACCTCCCTATGGGTATGGGTGTGTGTTGTTCGTTCGTCAACCTCCCGTGTTGGGTCGCTATGCGATCGGCGTGTTCTTCTATTCGTTTCCTCCTCACCACTCGCCAAGTCGGCAGTAGACCAGGATCCCCAAACCCGGAGTCGTTTCGTGGGCGCTGGCTTGGTACCCGTGTCTTCGGCCGCTATTGGGCGATCCCGCGGGCACTGGGAGGGCTGGCGCCCACACGCACCAGAGAGTTGGTCGGTCCTTTCCTCCCCGCTCCTCGAGGCTGGCCTAATCGGCTCGGGGCTGCCACGGATGTGGGGGGGAAGTTGGGGGCAGGGAGAAAGGATACTGAGATGCACGCCTGCTGCGGTGTAGGGGGCAAGGCAGGTGGCAGAGTGTGGGAGGGCAGGAGACGGCGATGATAGCGGACCGCTGGAGGTGAAGCACGCCAACTCCGTCCACAACGGTGTAGGGGCGGGGGGAGTGGGGCGGGGGGGAAAGGGGGGGGAGGGGGGTGGTGTTGAGTGGGGGGGGGTGGGGGGGTGGGGAGGGGGGGGGGAGTGGGGGGGGGGGGCGGGGGAGGGGGGGGGATGGGGGGTGGGGGAGGGGGGGGGCGTGGGGGGTGGGGTGGTGGGCTTTTTTTTTTTTCTTTTTTTTTTTTTTTTTGTTTGATCTCTATTTTGTTTTCTCTTTCTCATTTGTTTTTCTCTATATCTTTCATTTTTATTTATTCTTATTTTTTTTTTGCTGTTTTTATTTTATTCTTTTTTTTGTTCTTGTTTTTTTTTTATTGTTTATCTTTTTTTTGTTTTAATTTCTTTTCTTGTTTTTTCTCTTTTGCTTGTGCGCGCCGTCAAATTGGAGTCGTCCATCTGGCAGAGAGTGTACGGAGGATCGGCCTCGAGGGTCGAGGCTTTCCACGGGCCCGACGCTCACCGACGAAGAAACCTTTGCATAAACAGAAATGATGTTCGGAAATCTGCACTGTCAAAATTGATAGCAAGGATGGGTAACATTCCCAAGGGTACCCTTGCATCCTTATTTCCTTGGTCCATTCCCCCCCCCGTTCGATGGCCAGCCCCGCTCGAAAAGCTTCGACATGGTCGTCCAAGGGGGCAGCCTCATCGCGCTTCCTTGCTATCAGTTTTGTTTGTACGGACCTCTTGGATCTACGCTGGACCCGCTTGGCGGCGCCCGGGAGGAAGTTACGGCGCTCACCCAGGAAATCCGAGCAGACCCAAATGTGCTTAAGTCCTGCCGGGCTTTCTTGTTTGGGGGACGGGGGAGAGAATGGGGGCTCAGAATGTGCGGCATGTGTTGAGGTTTCGGCCCAACCGGCAGGCACTCTCCTCGACGCAGGGTTGCCTCCAGCGCCAGGCGGTGCCCAGGAAATTGGCTACGCGAGCTGGTTCGCTGGCCTCCCATGTCCTATCCGCCTTCTTGTCCAGCCCAGCATTTACGGTAGCGGGGATTGGGGGCGAGGATCGTGGCTTTCTGACGGGGGCCACGGTTGAGGCTCCGAGACGACGCCCAGATTTCGCGACAGTCCCATCTGTTCTAGCCGAAGTCAGACAGGAGGAGGAAGAGGAGGAGGAGGAGGAATAGGTTCCGATATGTTCAGTGGGCGAATCGTGAGAAGGAGGCTTTGATGAGCAGGACACGTAGGAGGTAGAAGGACCCTGTGGTGCTGGCCGCTGCCTCCTTGCATCGGAGGTTATCATCATCAACATCAGCATCACCATCATCGTCGTCATCATTGTCATGTTCGTCGTTGTTGTCATAATTGTCATCGCCCCAGTCAGACGTACTATCGCCATCGTTATTCACCAGGTACTATCATCTCCGTCACCTCCACCATCGATCATCATAGTATCTGAAAACATAATCATCATGACCATCCCCATCATCGTCACAATCATAATCCTCATCATCATCATCGTGACCATCATCAGAACCATACATCATCATTGCCATCGCCATCACCATCATCATCGCCACCATCATCAGCATTCGCAGCATCACCATCAATCATCATCATAGCTGTAAGACACATAATCATCATCACCATCCTCACAGTCGTCAGCATCATCCTCCACTTCATCATCAGCATCATCATCAACATCATCATCGCCATTGCCATCGACATCGCCATCATCATCGTCAGCATCATCAGTTGTATCATCATCATCATCCGCAGTAGCATCAGCATCACCATCATCATCAATATCGGCATCGGCATCGGTATCGACGTCGACATCGACATCGAAGCACCATCATTAGCCATCGTTTTTGCCCTTCTCGGTTACGCCCTCCTCGCCGTCGTCGCCCTCGCCCTCACTGTCATCGTCGCCGCCCTCATCGCTGTCGTCGCTGTCGTCGTCGTCGTCGTCGTCGTCGTCGCCCTCGACCGTGTCGGGCGCGCGCGCGCGCGGGCGCGAGCGCCGAAAGCCTCCCATTCCTCCCCGCGCCCAGCGCGGGCCTCGGGCGCGGCGCGCCGCTGGAGAGCGCCAGCAGGGGCGGCACGCTGAAGCCCGAGGCTCTTGTGGGCCGCACAGGGGGGGGAGGAGGAGGGGGAGGGGGGGGGGAGGGGGAGGGGGAGGGGGAGGGGGAGGAGGAGGAGGGAGGAGGATGAGGAGGAGGAGGAGGAGGAGGAGGAGGAAACGTGGGAGGAGGCGGGGGAGGAGGAGGAGGAGGAGGAGAAACGTGGGAGGAGGAAGGGGGGAGGAGGAGGAGGAGGAGGAGGAGGAGGAGGAGGAGGAGGAGGAGGAGGAGGAGGAGGAGGAGGAGGAGTGGAGGAGGAGGACGCGGGAGGCGGGATGGGACAAGAGAGCAACGCACCACCACGGGGTGGGGGGTGGGGGGCACCTCCAGCGAGGAGGTCCACGACGCCTCCCCGATCCTGGGGATGGGGGATGTCTCGAGGGAGAGCGGGGGAGCACACCACCAGGGCCACGCCCCCTTGGCTCATCCCGATGGTGGTCCCTCTGGTGGTGGTTGCGTCGCTTTTCCTTGTTTCTGAGGGGTGGGGGGGGGTCAGGGGCAACGTTAGGGTTCAGTTGGGCATGTCCCTCTACAGGAGGAATATTCAATCACAGTTAAAACATAGTCGGGGGACGACGTTTCGATTATTGTTAGGCCATGTTTGAATAGTTCTTGACGATATATTATTTGTCCTCCAAAATCCCCTGTAGGAGTACATGCCCGATCTAAGGTTAGGGGGGACGAGGCATCGGGCGCCTCATGGGGCCTCCTCGACGCCTCCTTGGGCCCTCTTGGGGCCCTCGGGGGAGGCTTGGGGACGCTCTTGAAGCCATCCTGGATCTAGGCCCGGCATCCTAGATGGGGTCGGAGTAGATGGGGTCGGATGATCGCGCCGCATCGTCGATGTACCGGCGATGCGGCTCGATGTGGAGCCCCATTGTCTCCACGCTGACGCATCGCCGACGTCGCCGATGCATCGTCGATGCTTCGTCGATCTATATCTATATTTATATCTATATATACACATATATGTAAATGTATTTCTGTGTATATGTATATGTGTATATATAGATTGTATATATATACATATGAGTAGGCCGGGGGGGGGGGGGGCGAAAATCGGTGCCGTCATCCCCCATATGGCCGCCCCCACGAACCTTTGGGGGGTCACAGACCCCCCGGGACTGCCCTGGGCCGCTTCCAGATTGCCCACGACAGGCCACGCGGGCCGTACAAGACGCCCAGGAGCGGCCGAAGAGGGCCCCAAGAGGGCCTTCAAGAGGTACAAATAGGTTTATTTCCTTCGTAAAACGTGCATTTTCGGCATACTCGCTGGCTTCGTCTTCACAGTGCCCCAGGCGCCCCCGCGGAGCCCTAACACAGCCCAAGAGAGACCCAAGAGGGCCCCAGACGGCCCAACAGGGTCGTCCTGTGGGGCTCACGGAACCCCCGAGACTTGGATCCGCGCTGGGCCCTCCCGCTGCGCCTCCGGCGCCGCCCCTGGCGCGCGGAGCGCGCCAGGGCGGGGGGTCCAGCGCAGATCCACGAAATCCGCGTGGAGCGCCAGGCAGTTTGTGTCCATGGCGTTGTTTCTTCTTCTAGTTCAGGGGCAAGTTTTCAGTTGCCGGTATCTCGACTCGCCCTTCTCCGAAAGTCGCTCCGCGGGGGCCGTGAAAGCTGGCGGCGACGACGGAATCGTTGTCCCTCCTTAGACCTCACGAGGGGCCTGCACTGATGTGGCGCCTCGGGGCCATGTCTCCAACGGTGCCGCGGTGCCGCTGTTGAGTTGGGTGCGGGTCTTCTCGGGTGCGCGTTTGTGACTGATCCTTGGGGTCAGCAGAACAGTCCTCCTCCCCCCCTACCGCTGCTCCTCGCCCCCTCCTCGTTTCCCAAGGGCTCCCTCGAGGGCGCGAAGTTATTCGCGCTTCGCGCTTCGCGGTCCTCGTTCCTTCTCCCCCTCCTCCTCGTCCTCCTATTCTCCCTTTGGGGGGGCGGCGCGAGAGCGCGAAGTTATTCGCGCTTCGCGCTTCGCGCGGCGCGAAGCGCGAAGCTGGGAGCCCTAGAGAACAGTCCTCCTCCCTCCCTACCGCTGCTCCTCCCCCCTCCTCGTTTCCTCCTCGGACGACGGCTACGACGGCCGAGGCGGCGCAGGCCTTCGCGACGGCGCCGACGGCGGCGGCGACGACGACCCCGACGGCGACGGCGATCTCGGCGGCGGCGGCGGCGGCGACGCCTTGGACTGGCGGGCCGCCAGGTTCGGGGGAGCGTAGCAAGGGCTCCCTCGAGGGCGCGAAGTTATTCGCGCTTCGCGCTTCGCGGTCCTCGTTCCTTCTCCCCCTCCTCCTCGTCCTCCTATTCTCCTTCTGGGAGGGCGGCACGAGAGCGCGAAGTTATTCGCGCTTCGCGCTTCGCGCAGCGCGAAGCGCGAAGTTGGGAGCCCTAGGTAAGACCCGGGTTTGCCGGGACTCGGGTTCGCCATCGTTTTTTGACGACCGCGGCTCGGATTCTGACGGGGAGGAGTTTCGTGGGACGTCTGCCGCGGGAGGCCTCGTCGAAATGCAGGCTCGGCCTCGTCCTTTTTTTGACGACCTCGTCGGGGATTTCCGAGTCCCCCGTACCCGGGTCTTACGTCTCCCCGACAAGAGGGCCTAATCGCCCTCCAGCGGCCGAAGCCCTCCGGCCTTGCATCCTGCTCAGCCCGTCTGCACTCCCGAGCCCATTCGACCGCCGAGCTGGGCGACACAGAACCGTGCAGGCGAGCAACTTGGGCCAGGTCTGGGACGGGGGGAGTCACCCCGTACTGGTGGAAGCTGACGGGGCCCCTCAGTATCGTTTAACCAATCCCCATCCCCATCCCCATCCCCTTCGAGACCGCCACCAGATTACCCCCCCAGTTGGGGATACACCCCTCCGAGCCCGTACCCGGGTCTTACGTCTCCCCGACAGGTGCGCAAGCCCAGCGCCGTGCCCGTCCTGGCGCCCACCTTCCAGAGCACGGGCTGGGAGGCCGAGGTGGGCGCCGCGGGGTCGGCGGGGACTCGCCGCCCCGGCGGACAGACCCGTCACGAACTGCTCTCAGGGCACAGGGAGGCCGCATAGCAAATTATCCCGGCAAAGCAACCTAACAGCGATGTGTAGATGAGATTCAGATGAGAATCCAGTTGTAGAATTCTGCTTTTCTCGCAGTCGTAGTCGCATTCGCGATGACAGTCGCAGTGGCCGTCCCGGCGGGTAGACCCGTCACGAAATGCTCTCAGGGTCGGGGGCGGAAAAGAGGGGGGTGATGACTAGGGGGAGGGGGGATTTCATGGCGCGGGCCATGATTTTTCCCCAGATTTCATGGCGCCTCTTCTTTGTTTTATTACGTCCCTGGTCCCCCCGCTGGGCCGCGCACATGCCGCCGGTCATGATTTGCACCCCCCCCTCTTGGACGCCCCCCTCTTTGCCGCTCCCGACAGGGCACAGGGAGGCCGAATATCAAATTATCCCGGCAAAGCAACCTAACAGCGATGTGTAGGAGCATGTCTGGAAGCATTCCCCTTAAGATTCAGATGAGAATCCAGTTGTAGAACTCTGCTTTTCTCGCAGTCGTAGTCGCATTCGCGATGACAGTCGCAGTGGCCTGCATCAGCCTCAGCCTCAGCCTGCCTCAGCATCAGCCTCAGCCTCAGCCTCAGCCTCAGCCTCAGCCTCAGTCTGCCTTCAGCCTCAGCCTCAGCCTGCTTCAGCCTCAGCCTCAGTCTGCCTGCAGCCTCGGCCTCAGCCTGAGCCTGCCTTCAGCCTCAGCCTCAGCCTCAGCTTGCCTCAGCCTCCGCCTGCCTCAGCCTCAGCCTCAGCCTGCCTCAGCCTCAGCCTCAGCCTGCCTTCAGCCTCGGCCTCAGCCTCGGCCTGCCGCAGCCTCAGCCTGCATCAGCCTCAGCCTCAGCCTCAGCCTGCCTCAGCATCAGCCTGCCTCAGCCTCAGCCTCAGCCTGCCTCAGCCTCAGCCTCAGCCTGCTTCAGCCTCAGCCTCAGTCTGCCTTCAGCCTCGGCCTCTGCCTCGGCCTGCCTCAGCCTCAGCCTGCATCAGCCTCAGCCTCAGCCTGCCTCAGCATCAGCCTGCCTCAGCCTCAGCCTCAGCCTCAGCCTGCCTCTGCCTCAGCCTCAGCCTGCTTCAGCCTCAGCCTCAGTCTGCCGTCGGCCTCGGCCTCAGCCTCAGCCTGCCTCAGCCTCAGCCTGCATCAACCTCAGCCTCAGCCTCAGCCTGCCTCAGCATCAGCCTGCCTCAGCCTCAGCCTCAGCCTGCCTCAGCCTCAGCCTCAGCCTGCTTCAGCCTCAGCCTCAGTCTGCCTTCAGCCTCGGCCTCAGCCTCAGCCTGCCTCAGCCTCAGCCTCAGCCTCAGCCTCAGCCTGGCTCAGCATCAGCCTGCCTCAGCCTCAGCCTCAGCCTGCCTCAGCCTCAGCCTCAGCCTGCTTCAGCCTCAGCCTCAGTCTGCCTTCGGCATCGGCCTCAGCCTCAGGCTGCCTCAGCCTCGGCCTGCATCAGCCTCAGCCTCAGCCTCAGCCTGCCTCAGCATCAGCCTGCCTCAGCCTCAGCCTCAGCCTGCCTCAGCCTCAGCCTCAGCCTGCTTCAGCCTCAGCCTCAGTCTGCCTTCAGCCT